TTGGGGGTGTGCATCTCATGCCAAAAGCCGATACGATACGCATCTCGATGCATAGCCAACGATACGATACATTAAAAGATACATATGAAGCAGCTACCGTTGCGATGCGTTACGATTCACCCCTGTTACTATGCAGTGCGATCCTATTTCGATTCAATCCGATTCAACACAATGCGATTCGATGCAATATGACGCAATGGAGAAAATATGGTCACTTTTAATGCCTCGAGGCCTGTTTCATAAAACAGTTTTTTTTTTTTTTACAGTTTCTAACCATGCAGCCTTTCTCTCTGGTTTTATTAGCTGTACTTTTTATAGTTTGCAAAACAGATAGCAGAACATCAGAACATAACAATCTAAAATTGTTCTTTAAAGCATTAAAATAACTAAATTAAATTTAAAATCACTGAATTAAAAATGAAAATAAATAATAAAGAAAATGACTACATTTTAACTGCTGTAGGAAACACACATTAACTCATTTGAGCTTAGTAATTACTAGCCTACTAGCTTACATTTGATTTACCTATTACAATAGTCCACTTACAGTTACTGCTATCATAAAAATACAATTTGTGTAGGTTTAAAATTCTACAAAAGACACATTTAATGTCCAAAAAAAACCTTTTTTTTTAGCAAAATGTATATTTTACTCAGAATTACTGCGCTCCTATTCGATTGCGCTTTGTCTGTTTAGTACGCACGCGCGCAGCTGCGCTCGTTGCTCTCGCGTGCCTCACCCAAGCCTGACAGCAAAATGGATATGTTTGCATGCCTTTCTAACATTTACAGATGAAAAATATACATGTGACATGTCAGTTATGCACTGAGGAAAACACAGCGTCTCAAATGCATTAAACAGCACAGATATATTCGCTGTTTGTCATGGTGGATTGATTTGATCCATGATCGACATAAGGTCTGTTTAAGAATAAGCGTGCACAAATTAGTGCGATTGTGTGAATTTAATTTGTAATTTATGGAACCGCTTTAGCCCCGATTGATTTGTTAAGTTATTTCAAATCAGGTTTTGGACTTTAATCCCAGTTTTTCCTCAGGTCTCCGTGGTGTTGTGATGCGTCATATTCAGGCAGCAGCAGTGATGAGAGAACGCGCTTGAGAAACAGTTTAGAGAGGAACAATCAATCTACATATAAAATATTGGTCACTTTCTAAATAATAAAAGTATAGCGCATCCACTAGTAATTCTATATAAATAAATCGGTTTTTACCAATGCAAATATGTTAGAAACGATGCATCGCGATATAAATGACAACTTGTAGACGATGCATCCAGCAAATCAGGGAATCTTCCCATCCCTAATATGTATAGATTTTATTATTTTATCTTTTTCAGACTTTCAATCTTAAAATAAGGAAATCCAATATACAGCTCTAGAAAAATTTAAATACCACTGCAAAATTATCAGTTTCTCTGGTTTTACTATTTATAGGTATGTGTTTAAGTAAAATGACCCTGATAGCAACAGACTCCGGGGCGGATCCGCCCTCAAATCGGCAGCTCCGCTGTACTGTCAGACTCCGTTCGGTCATTCGCCCAGAATATGCCCCGCGTGGCGAAGCTGCGGCCGGCCAGTTTGAAGAGGACTGAACACGGCAAGAATACTGTTTAAATATGCTTTATATGTACAGTTGCCAGTAACATTAAGGTTAATAAAGTAGTTAATTGCTTTGTTGGCATTTTTAATTGTGAAATTGCGTTGTGGAACGTTAACGTTAGCTCTGCAGCACATTAGCATTATCGCAGATTTGAGTTATATCAGGCCTATTTAGACGGGATCTCCTCCTTTTTGTGAGACGCGGTAGTCCTGAGCGTATATGTAATGTTAGGTAATTTTTCACCCCTCTTCAGGAATAACTGCAGGCGATATGATCCGGGCCGGATGAGCTACTTCATGAACGGGTCCGGATCGGATCCGGGCCGGATGAACCGCTTTATTAGCGGATACGGGTAGGGTCTGGACTGGATCCGGTCCGGATCCGTAATCCTTATCTGTTCCGGATCCGTTGCGCTGTGCAAGTGGACTCCGATACGAACCCGTTTTGCGGATCCGTTCCGGAGCTTATGGTGACTCCGGGGCGGATCCGCTCCGGAGTCATTTTGCTATCTGGGGAACATTATAACAACTGACAACACTTTTTCCAAATTCCAAATGTCATTAAGACCATTTATTTGCAGAAAATGACAACTGGTCAAAATAACAAAAAAGATGCAGTGTTTTTAGACCTCAAATAATGCACAGAAAACATTTTAAACAAGACAATACTAAGGTTTTAACTTAAGAAGAGTTCAGAAATCAATATTTGAGAAACACAAAGTTTTAACTTATGAAGGGTTCAGAAATCAATATTTGGTGGAATAACCCTGATTTTCAATCACAGCTTTCATGCTTC